TAGAGAAGTTTTTTCTGGAAAATTTATTATTATATAAAATAGTTATATTTTTCATTTTTCTCTTTACTACTATACCCCACCATGTATCATCTTGTCAGTTTTTCAGTGTTTTTTCAATCATTTCTACACTGCATTGGTCAAGTGCACTTTGCGCACAAAAAAGATATATACATAATGTAAGATATATATATATATAATGTATGTATATATATAATATATATGTAATCTATAATATATATAATGTAAAAATATATATATATCACTGCCGCGCGAATAGGTTAAATAACAGTAGTGGCTAAATAGGTTAAAATACAGTAGTGGTTTGCTTAAACAATTGGTTTATTTTTACAAGTATTACAAACAGTTGAACATTTCCTTAATACATACGTTAATAATTATACTGAATTACGTTAATAACAATAAGAGTAGATAAACGTTAGAGGAAGAAAGAAAAAAAGGAAAAAGTGACAAAAGAGAATAGAAATAAACGAAAGTTATTTCGAGTTGTAATAATCTATTATAGACTCTGCGTGATTTGCAATCGCCGGTTCTGTTACGGTAATCTTTCGTAGATAATATAACAGTCTGTCAATTTCTTCTGCTTCTATTGGACTAGGCGGCTGCAAATGAGAAGATTCCTCTGCCTCTTCGATAGCATCTTCTCCGATCCTTTCTGCTTCTTCACACTGACTGATCCATTCTGTCACCTCTTCGTCAGAAATTGTTTCGTACGAAGCAGTTCCCGACGAAGAGGAGCCGGCCAAGTTCCTTCCAACCAGTCTTGTCCCTCGATTAAGGATTTTACCCCAGGAATCGAATATGTTCAAAGAAAGTATAGTGCTCCATGCTTCATTTACCAAGTCTATACAATCCTTTATATCGTAATCAGCATAGAATTCTGACGTACCATTTTCGTATTGCGAGAAACGTTGCAGCAACCTATGTCGGAATCTTTTCTTTAATTTTGTAATCACACCCTGATCCATTGGTTGGATCAGGGGAGCGGTATTGGGCGGTAAGAACATGATTTTGAAGTGGCCGTCGTCCATGTCTTCGCCTGGCAAGTTATGGCCGCCAAAGTTGTCTATGATTAGTAAAATCTTGCCATTGTTATTTTCTTCCAGCTGCCGCCTCCTAACGCACGGCTTAAACTCATTGTGGTACCAGAATTGAAAAATGTCAGTACTCATCCAAGCATTTTCGTTGTGCGTGTATATCACGGGTAGATTGTTCATACAGTGCTTCAACGCTCGGGGATTTTCATGTTTATTGATGAATAGTATGGGTAGCTTGTGGCTTCCGGTTGCGTTTGCACATACAGCCAACGTAATTCTATCGTTTCTGACTTTCTCTTCCGATTCTCGTTTCACTCCAATTTCATTCGCGCTTATCATTATTCCCTTGGGAAGCGTCCTCCAGAGTAAACTCGTCTCGTCCACGTTGTACAGATTATCGTCGCCGATTTCAAGATCGTCCTGCAGCTGCGAAAGCTGCTGGATAAATTGTTTCGCAGCAGATTCGTCCGTCGTCGTGTCGTCGCACTCACCGTGTACATTCGCATGGCTTAGGTTGTAATTCTTCTTAAATCGCCAAAGCCAGCCTCTGCTTGCTGTGAAGTTGGACGGGCCGCCGGTCTCCTCTTGCATCGCCTTTGCCTTCTCAATCAAAATATTGTCGGTTATTCGGCCCCCAGCCGTACGGCGTTCCAAGATCCACGAATACAATTCTTTGTCCAGATCGGCGGACGTAGACGAGCGCATCCTCTTCCTTTGCAGTTTAGACTCCTCCTCCGCGAACTGTCGTATCGACGAGGCATTCTGCCGAATACGTCTTATCGTTCGATCCGTCACGTTGTATTCACGCGCCAAGTCCTTTATGTTCCCACCTGCCTCCAATTTATTCAAAATGTCTAAACGGACAGCGATATTTAGCTGCCTACTGGTAGCAGAACTCGAGTCGGCCATCATGGAAATATAATCGAACTCGATATCGAGTGATATGGTATTAATATACTGGAATTTGCCGCGCGTGCTTCGTATGAAACAACTGACGCCTGTTCTCTCTCTCTCTCTCTCTCTCTCTGCTTCGATGCCTAGTCACGAACGATATCCTCTCACTTAAGAGTCCGCTCTCGGTCTCGACTGCGGACGTTTAAATGGGCACTCCGTATATATGTAACGGTGGCTCGTCTCTGCGCGTGGTGGGGGAGGAGAGTCGATTTAGAAAGGAGAGGGGGAAACGGTTCATCGAGCGTCGAAACTCGCGTGGCTGCTTGCAAGAGGGGAAATTCAACACAGGCCTGTCACACACGAAATACATAATGTAATAAAGCAAAAGGGAAATAACAGCGGCGAAAACTTGATGTTAATCCATTCGTTATGTATATATCTTGTGGACAAAATGCACTTGGCCAACGCAGTGTGGAAACGATTCAAAAAACAATGAAAAGCTGACTAAGATGATAGGTGATGGTATGGTAGTGAAGAGAAAAATGAAAAATTAATAATAATACAAATAAATAGAAATAAAAATATATATAAAAAATATTATTAGTAATAAATTTTCCAAAAGAAACAAACAAAAGATTATGTGTGTGTATTTATTTCAGTATGACATTTTTTGAAATATTCCGAAATTTTTAACTCTATCTATCTTTACAAAAAAAAAAGAAAAAAAGAAAAAAAAGGAAATCAATGGTTTGATCTCGTTTCACTCTATTCTCTCTTTACTTGTTTTGAATATTTATAGTAGATAATCTATCTTTTAAATTGTACGTGTACAGGACGATTCACGTAAGCCGGAATAAATTTTTAAATCACGCACTACACTATAGTTTATACTTTCGCAATTTATATTGCCTTTATTCCGTATGTGATTTACAATTTTCTCCGTTTTCCTTGTTCCATCGATTCTGCACAGATTTCTGAGTAAAATGTATGGGGAAAAAAAGGAAAAAGGAGGAAAACCCGTTTTCCTGAAGTCATCGGAAGCCAAGTCCACGAAATGGCCAAGTGAAATCAAGGAATCGGCAGATCGTATCAAGGACTTGGAATTGCCTCGTGCTCACCACGTGTATCCGCATACGTAATCAATATACTCGCGTCGATGATTGGTAATCGATCGGATCAGAGTCATTCCTCCGTTTCACGCTTCTCTCCTCCCCCCCCCCTCCTCCCCTCTCGCGTCGTATCTTTCCTCTGACGCAATCGCTATAGGCCGTTACCGATAAAAATCATAGTAAGTGTACACACGGATGGAACGGTGTTTATTGGTTGGACTATGAATCACTGGGCGCGCATTGTTGCGGCTTGTTCGCGAGTGCAATGGTCGACGCGACGTTTCGATCACAGCAACAACGTCACGAGATGCGTCGCGAGAGATACGTTGCGAGGCAACGTGCCGTTGAAACAATTGGAATTTACGTAAGAACGTCAGGAACGTAATCCGGTTCCGTTATGATGAAAAGTTCACGCGGATTCACCGGTGAATCCTGCTCGGATCTTTCCAACAGGGGGGAGGGGGGAGGGAGGAGTTTCTTCTAACTTTTGCCATTTTTGCAGCCTGCGAGCTTCACGTGGATTGTTTCAAAATTTTTTTTTCTCAGAATATCCGTCTCAACTCCCATGCTTCGTTCGTCCGAAATTAATTGTCACACTTGGTGTGCAAATGTATGTAAAAAGACAAAACAGAAATGAAATTTTGGTGAAAATAAATTCGATGGAAACTTGTTTGCTTGAACGAAAATTTTTAACAATAATGTAAATTGAATGATGTATAAATATGATATATAATTATTATAATAATATAATCTTAAGTAATATATAAATATATTATAATATAAAATAAAATATAATAAATATAATACAATATAAAATATTATCATAATATAATATTATAATATATTATTATATATTATAATTAATATTAATATATATAATAATAATATTATATAATATTAATATATTATAATTAATAATAATAGTAATAATATCTTAAATAATATATATATTATAATTTATCATATTATTATATATTATTATATCATTATATATTATTTAAGATATTGTTATTTAAGATAATATAATAATATATTAAATATTATTATATATTATAATATCTTAAATTATATATAAATATTATAATAATATAATC